TACTGGGTTTGTGGGTTCACATTTCCTCTTCACAGGTTGTTGGAGGGCTAGGGAGACTCATAAGGAGACTCCATCCAGCTAATTACCTCGGCTGCAGAGTCACCCTTCTCACCTGCAGCCCATCATGTAATTAGACGGGAGGAATAAAGGAGCCAGTGAACCAGCCACTCAGCGCCAGATTGTTTGCCTTAGTGGTAACGTCCAGCCACCTGAATCTGTTCCTGTTTTATTCTAGTCTGTTCCCTGAAACCTCTGTCTGTCATCACAGGATTCCTAGAACCCGTTCTGGATTACACCTTTGTGTGGAAGTCTCATACCAGCCTCTGCAGCTCCCGGATCTCCTGAACCACGGCTGAATCCTCCCTGGCTCTGTTCTCCTCCCGTGCGTCTCCTGTTCACCCTCCAACAACCCGCCTCACTTCTCCGAACCTCCACATCTACCCACAGCCCCGGTACCGGCTCACCTCTCCCACGCTCCGCTACAACCAAATCTCAGTAAGAACTCTCCCCACTATCTACATAAATATCTCCCCGTCCCGATCATCATTTCATGTGTTATTTCTTCCAGTGATCCAATCTCTAGCTCCGGAACCAGCCCATCCCTGCCAGCCTCCGCTCACCTCTAATAAACTATTTTTTACAACATCTCCTGGTCTCTTGAGAGTCATCTTGTATGTGGGTCAAATATCTAAATAAAGAAAAAACCATGACACCAGAAGCTTCTTTAAATGGCACAGACTGCTTCAATCATCTTTGAGTCAAACATTATTACTTTACATTAATATTATTGTATTGTTGTTGTTGTGACATTGTACTTGAAGCCTTCTTGGCCCAAATGAATCAAAATGCAAAAATAAAATAGTCTGCTTTTATCTAGTTGTAGAAGTTAAAGGGTTAAACAGGATCTATAATAGCTTGTCAGGCTGGACTTAAGTCCGTTTCATTTTACAGATTACATGAAGCAACATTCTGCTGCTTATTTTTTAAACAGCTGATTTAGTTTTTTGGGGTTGCTGTAAAATGTTTAATAAAGACTTCCTGTAATGTAAGAAAAAGCCTCCTGAAATGAGAACACAGCAGCCTTCATCTTAAATAACCGTCAACGGGGAACTTAAGCGCCCCGGACAACAAATTGCTCAGCTGATTTGGTCCTGGAGGTTGTGGATAATCCTGCGTGATTTAAGGCTCCCATCTTTGAACAACTTAATGCCTGACCTGGAGAATAGAAGTTAATGGGGAACACGTTGGCTGGAGGTCCACATGGAGGTGTGTGTGTATGTGTGTGTGTGTGTATGTGTGTGTGTGTGTGTAAAATGAGATTCCCTGATGTCTGCTGCAAACAGAATGAACACAAAACCAGCTAATTATCCACGTTTCTAAGCAACGAATCAAACTACATGCAGGTGAAGCGGCAGTTTCAATCAAGCTGCATAAATGCAAAGTAATAATAGATTTTCATAAGCAATTTTTCACATATGATATGTTACTGTATAAAATAAATGCGGGATGAGTTTTACTATTAGATTCATAAATATCGCTAACAGTCTAGTTTGCAGTGATAAGAGTTTATTAATCAATAAATAACTAATTAGAGCTAAAGTATAAAAATTTACATTTTTTTACTTCATGAATGAACAAAAGTCTAATCCAAGGTGATATTATTTATTAGTTCAGATGAAGTGGGTGGGACTTAAAACATATACTGAAACCAACCACTAAACAACGCTTGTTTATTTATTTATTTATTTAGTTTTCCTTGTTGATTTTGTTCATATAAACGTTTCAGGAGACAAAGACACACACACACACACACTCACTCTCTCTCTCTCTCTCTCTCTCTCTCTCTCTCTCTCTCTCTCTCTCTCTCTCTCTCTCTCTCTCTATCATTATAAATAACGAACGCATTGAATGTGTCCCCCATCAGACTCCTGGGACCCATCTTTTCCATCCTCACTTGGTCTGCCAGCACTAGGGCCATAGTGAAGAAAGCCCAGCAGCTGCACTTCTTCCACATTCTGAGGAGATATGGCGTGGACCGGAAGCTGAGGCTGGCTTTCTATAGATGCTGAGTAGAAAGTATTGTCACATACTCAGTGTGTGTGTGTGTGTGTGTGTGTGTGTGTGTGTGTGTGTGTGTGTGTGTGTGTGTGTGTGTGTGTGTGTGTGTGTGTGTGTGTGTGTGTGTGTGTGTGTGTGTGTGTGTGTGTGTGTGTGTGCGTGTGCGTGTGTGTGTGTGTGTGTGTGGTATACAGGCTCTACAGAAGAAAACAAGACGGCTGTGCAGAAGGTCATAAACAGTCTAGAAAATCATCAGACAGCCCCTGCCCTCCTTGAAAGACATCACGAGATCCAACTGCCGGAAGAAGACCAAAATGATACTTAATGACCCCTCCCACCCTGCCCACAGCATGTTCGACCTGCTGCCCTCAGAGCGGCACTACAGGTCAGTCAGATCGCACACCAGGGTCACCAACAGCTTCTTTCCCTGGGCCATACGCAACTCAGATAGCATCTACTACTTAAAACCCCCTCAGTCAGACCCATAAACTGCTATTGATCTATTAAATATAGAATCAGATACCACATCGCTTCCATATTGCACTGTGTACATTATTGTGTGTATATTAGTGTGTACACATCATGACTTGTGTCCCTGTTTTCTGTGTAAAGTCGCGGGCAGCTACACGCAATTAAGTTGGTCCTGAAGTATGCACGAGTAGTTACCTCCACACAGACAAGTCAACTTCAGTCCTAAACTCAAAATGAACCAATGTTAGATGAAAAAGACTGATGATGTTTGAGCCAAAGGCAGAGCCACCGCAGAGGGAGGAAAAGAGGGATGAAAGGATGGGAAACCCCTGAGGACTTCGGCATCAAATCAATGCACACTAGCTGCAGGGTTGGTTTTTTCCAGAATGTCCTCAAATCCATCACGGCTGAGGGTTCTGTTTCTTTAACCTCACAATGGCGAGAAAGGTCACAGACGCATCGCCAGTGGAAACAGGTTGATTGTTGTTTCCATGTGGGGACATGTTACAGAGACAAAGAGGAGTAGAAGAAGAAAGAAGAGGGAAAAAGATGGATATCATCATTTGTCTTCAATGAATCCTGATTATTCCGTGAAAGGAAAATAACCAAATATATCTTTGTTATTTACCATTTTCTGAAGAAAAAGAGCTCTGTTGAGGGGGAAAAGGCATGTCATCATTCATGGCTCATTTAGGGAGACATCATGAACAAAAGGCTTCCAGTGATCCTCATTTAATGAGTCATTTCCCTGAGATGCAGGATCAGGCACTTTGTGTTCGTGTTGCCTGGTTATTGGACTCTTCTGTTGGTATTCAGCCCATGAGCATCATTAACTGAGCGGAGAGTTGACTTCCAAGCTAGGAGACAAGCAAATCCACATCTGATTCAGTCACTCAGTCAGAAGTTCAGCCTTTATGCACAAGAAAAACACATGCATCAGAAAACTGGAGATTAATATGAAAGGATTCTTTATTTTAAACCTTTTTGGACACATTTTAATTCACATAAACTCTGCAGAAGAGAGCAACGAAAAAACGCAACCAAAATGTTTTTGACAGCAGCTAACGTTGGAGTTGACCATAATTTTAAATATGCTAAAAAGGGGGCAAACCAACATTAAAACGTAGGGGCAAAAAGCACCGGTGAATTAGACGTGAGCCAGATCACAGCTGAGCTTCAGACGGCAGGTTTTGGACTCTTATTTCCTGATATTTGGACATCTCGCCCTGGATTGGATAACAGCAACACCACTCTACTGACTTGCAACATTGATGTTTTATCTTCACAATTAACACAAGTCTGGAGGAGCTTCTTCCGTGTGGTTGAGTTGCTAATGCTAATGGTTAGCTTCTACTAGCCAAGACGTTCAATGTTGTTTTTTGGACGTTAAAGCTGCTTTCTGGAGTTTTCCCCTTTCAGAAATGATGTATGATTTGTCAGAAATCCCTAAAAGCAATTGTCTCATTATGTACTGTGGTATAATGTAAGTGATACATCTTTTTTTTTTTTTTTGCTAAGCGCACCCCTTGCCCCGTAGAGCTCAGTGCAATAGGAAACTGAGCGCCGACCAGAACTAACCAATAGCGTTAGACTACCGCTTATGTGTTTCGCAATTTAAGGACTATCTTGGCTGATTCAGAGTTGATGAACTTTTCACGGACAAGTAAATCTCTAAAATATAAATGTATGAGAACACAACATGACATGAGAATAATACTCGTGAAAACAGCGTGTTTTAGCTCCGTATGTCGGCTACAGAAGCACATTTTTGAACAGAAACATTAAGTCGCCATCTTAAAAAAAAGAGCAACAGAATTTTTGTGTGATATGCTTGTCAGCCACTAGATGGTGCCATTGGATAAGAGAAATACTCCAGAAAGAAGCAACAGCCTTCCCCGTCGTGAACCAAGATGGGTGAATCCAAGCAACCGCTTGGCGTAGATCTGTCAGGCTTTTAAGATTCTAGAGTTTCATCTATTTTCTACCAGAAACTAATGCAGGAGATATGTGTAGGAGACTATTTTCATGTTCAGCCTGCATGAAAACTCAGATTGAACAATTATAATCAGAAATAATCATTAAAAAAGGTTTTTTCAGTGTTCCACACCTTTAGGTCTCCAGTTTAGCTTTCAGTATTTCTTTTGTTTTGTATAATAAAACATGAACATCGGACTGAGATTAAACTTTAGCTTTTAGTACACCTCTGGGCTGTTGCAGGAGACAAACCACTGTAAGCACAGTTCGGGTTAATCCGCCGACATTTCTCTAATTCACATCATAACTCTACGCCGAGGTCTGAAACGGCCCAAGCTCTGCTTTCTCTCTTCTTCCTCACTGTTTACCATTATTCTCAGCGTGTCGTTAAATTTCCCATCTGCTGTGTCATCCGTGGAGTTTTTCTCACACATCTGAAACATTTCCAGGTGACAGAGATGATGGTTTACTTTTGTCTTTGGTCTTTTAGGAAGTTCTTCATCACTGAGATACTTTAGAAAAGCAGACATCGTAACGTCTGTATCACCCGGCCGAGCAGTAAATCTTTTTTCAAAGAAAAAAAATCTTATTTTCCTTTTTTGCTACAATTTAATGCTCATGCTAAGAATAAAACAAACATTTTGACATTTCATGTTTACCAGGTGTGACTTCACGTTAAGACTAAAGGATTTAGTATAAAAAGTGTTAATAAAACAGTTATAAGACACTGCCCATACACTGAAACAGGCTCTGTGGTCTCTTTTTCATTAGGGCATGCAAATTATTACTGGTTTATAAATTGTTGACCACTTAAAATAATAAATGTATTATTAATAATTAATTGAGTATTTGTCAGACACACCTTGTTGTTATTTAATTTTTCATTCATAGTTCTGTAGCTTTTAGATCTTTTTTTGTTTTGCTTTTCTAGAATAAAATATGTCCAACCCACCAGTTCATCAAAGGGTCAGACTCATTTTAAAAATGCAAAAAAAAAATCAATAAACAACATTCAATGCTCTAATCTGGAGTTACATCAAGTTTAAAAACCAAGATAAATGAAAATCAGTCATTTTCCATAAACCAGGACTCTGAGCAGGTTGATGACAAGCCTGATTTCTCACACAGCCTCCATCGCTGCA